TTCAACACTTTGAAGAAGGGAGCGCCCCGGTCGGATGACCTTGGGATGAAGCGCCCCAATGCCGCCAGCCTCCCTGTCAGCACTTGCACCTCCTTGGGCGTCCGGGGGGGCCCTAAACTCATAATTGCTTCGACTTGCCTGGGGTTGGCCTCAATTCCCCGCCTTGTTATCATGAACCCCAAGAACTTCCCTGCTTCTGCCAAAAACACACATTTTTTGGGGTTGAGCCGCAACTTGTAGTGTCGCATCGTCTCGAAAGTTTCTCGCAAGTCTGCGATGTGGTCCAGGCGCCTCCTGCTTTTCACAATTAAATCATCCACATAAGCTTCCACATTCCTTCCTATTTGCCCGCGGAAAATTTGGTTTACCATGCGCTGGTACGTGGCGCCAGCGTTCTTCAACCCAAATGCCATAACTCGATAACAGAAGTTTCCAAAGGGTGTCATGAAAGCCGTCTTCGCCACATCCTCTTCCGCCATGGGGATCTGATGGTAGCCCGAAAACATGTCGAGGAAGCTAAGTGCCTCATGGTAGGCTGTGGCATCCACAAGTAAGTCAATTCGCGGCATGGGATACGCATCGGTGGGGCATGCTCGGTTCAAGTTGGTGAAGTCCACACACATCCTCCAATCTCCCGATGGTTTTGGGACAAACACCACGTTGGAGAGCCACGTGATGTATCTTGCTTCCTCCACGAATCCCGCCTCGAGTAATCTATCAACCTCTCGCCGAAGTGCCTCCTCTTTTTCTTGGGACAAGTTCCTGCGCTTCTGTTGGACGGGTTTCTTTCCTCTTTCCACGGCAAGCCTGTGAACCGCCACGTCGGGTGACACACCAGGCATGTCCTGGGCGCCCCAAGCAAACAACTCTCCGAACTCCTTCAGTAATTCAAACAATTTGCGGAGTTGTTCCTGTCCAATTCCGCAAATTGTTCGAAACACTCTATGCGCCCTTCCTCAATTTGGTGATACCAATCCAACACAACGCCTGCAAACGTGGAGGGGAATACCTTGCACAAGGTGGCGTCCGAGCTGTTGTATAGTTGCATCTTCGTGAAGTAACTATTCAGATGATCTTCCGGGTCGGCGACCCCATCATAGCTGGGTAACGGTGGGATGGTGGTGCCCGCCGGTTCCATAAGGATGTTTCTCGCCAGGGGTTGCCGGACGCCAAATCGTTTAGCCACCCTCCTAGGCGCCCAGGCGTCCTCTTGGCTCGCTGGCGCGTGTTCGGTGGGTAGTCGCCAGGCGCGTGGGCGCCCGGGCGTGTCATGCCCCTGATCAGCACGGTATGGGAGCCCATACTGCTGTGAGTCCGAATCTTCCCCTATTCTTTCTCGCTTTCGCGCCCCTGGGCTATACACCATCGCCTCCTCACTTCGATCCCCTTCTAACTCCCTCCTGAGCGCTGCTATGGCTCGGTCTTGATCAGCTATGATCCTGAAGAGCTCTCCCTTCGTCATGGACTCTCCATCATCAGTCGATAGGCGCTCGGGACTCCCTTGTCCATCAACATCCATGCTCAACTCCTGACTCAGCTGGCGCTCCCCCTCCTCCTGACTTGAGCTTCCCGATTTCGAGTTGCCTCCCCCTTCGACGGCTTCATTCATGTCTTCCATGGTCGTGCGCCCCCCTTCCTGGCGCGCCAATTGTTTGTGCCACAACACCCGGGTCCCACTTGATGGTGATTTCACCTGCCAACTACCCTTGGGCGCCCAAATCCTGCACCCACAAGCGCCTAATGGGCTATCGACGCCCGTTAGCACTCCGATGCCTAAGTCAGTAACCAATCTAGAGAGATAAGTGTAGAGTGATGTTTTTAGTGAGAGAAACCAACCTGCGTAAATGCTACCTACCGAGTACTATTTATACTCGTCGAGGTTCAGACCGAGCTCCCAGAATCGAGTTCCACGTCAGCTCAACATTAAATGCTTGGTACGGACCAACGGTCGGGCGTCTACACGTGGCGGCTCCTGCTTAGGCGCCCGGAAGGACCACATTGCCAGGTGGCACGTTCTCCGTCTCTTGTTCTTCCCGGCTGCCTGGTCCCCGGCCTACTTTTGTCCCCATGCGCCAGGTCCTCTACCGTTGGGCCTGCCCCCTGTCCTTGGCCTTTTTCCCAAGCTCCGGCGTGGGCTTGGGCCTATGCGACATATCAGTCTATGTCCCCCATGATCCGTCCATCCTCAAGCCTTGATTCTCCACCTGGGCTTGCTCCTCTGCCCTCATGCCATGCGTTTGGGCCCGGGCGCCCCATAGCCCAATCAACCGTGGTCCGTCCGCCTCTGGGCCTTGACTTCTCACCCGGGTCCGTTCCTTTACCCTCGTATCGTGCGTTTGGGCCCGGGCGCCCATAGCCCAACAGTACTGATTATCATGTAATAGTAGTAATTTGCATGTATTGGTATTGATTAAATCTGTAATGGTACTGGTTTATTGTGAAATGATAGTGTTTTTATTTTTCGAATGGTATTGATGTTTTGTGCTATGGTAGTATTTTTTTAATGGATTGGTATTGATTTATTGTTTTGTTGTTGCAACGGTATTAGTTCGGCTGAACGAAATCAAAGAAAAGATTGAGAAAAAGAAAGAAGAGAGATATGAGTGAAGATTATGAAAGTGAGAGAAATAGAGTGAAAAAAAAAATGATAGTCAATATATTTATGTAACTACCTAAAATGTAATTTATTAAAAAACAAATTAATAAATATCATTTTTCATACCCAATTTATCCTTACAACCATAATAATTACTAATTCATAGTAATTACTTCATTGTAATTCACTAATTACTAATTACCATAATCCTCCCATTAATTTAGTGCAGGTCAAAGCTGAAATTTTGAAAAAGTGCGCTGCAGATGTAAACTGGATGGCAAATATCGAGAGGTGACGACCATTAACAATCCAGTCCGAACCAAATCCATCTGGATCAAAATTCTTGGCCCGGGCGCAACCAATTCAGGTTGAGAGCAACAAATAAATTATGGTGGGCTGTCATTTCATTTGCATAGCCCACAACCAAATATAAGAAAATGGGTCTGGAGAGGATTAAGGTAGAAGTTAAGTTGCTAACATCTACAAAATCACTGAGTCGAGTTTTGTCTTCTTTAGTTTTAGTTCGTTAATAAGCGAGTTGAGTTTGAACTCGGTTCATTTATCACCGAGCTGAGTTGAGCCGGGTTCAAACCATCTCATTTATTAAAATCCTGGCTCATCATTAAGATATGAGTTTGGCTCATAATATTATGTTATATATGATACATGTGATTAACTAATTACTTTCATTTATGAGACATATGTGCTCATACACTCAAAGTTTTGAACAACATATGAGGTGAGATATACAATTTAATAAACCTATAAATTATTAACAAGTCAACTCATAAAATACAGATCGACTCGTTAATAAACGGGCCAAACTTTTCCATAATCGAAAGAGGTTTTCTTGAATAGAACGACGAGCCGCTCCTGAACAACTTCGTTCATTAGCAACCCCACTAACATCCAATTTGTGCAAAAACTAGCTCCAGCCAACATAAACATTTCATTTTGATTATTTTTTTTCTTCCCAAGGGGTTGATCACAATTAATGCGGGTTTATAAAGGAAGGTGCACCCTTGTCAATATTAAAAATTTGGAAGAGGGACACACGCGTGTGTTGTGCATTAATTGGGAGACTACAAAACACACAAAAAAAAAACACAACAAATAACACCATAAACATCCTATAGCATACCAGAAAGCTTATAAAGCGAGTCCCTATAAAATAAAATTTCCTTGATTCTGCTCGTCCCTATACAATTGAATTTATGAGATCGATGATCTCATAAATTGGTAGTTGAGTTGGCTCGATAGTCACAATGTTGAGACATCTCATAAGCTCAAAATGAGATAGTCAATGAGGTGAGCTCAATAAGGCACCTAGTCGAGCTGGCGCACGAGTTGAACAAGACTTAGTTCAACCTCGACTCGTTAATAAAAGGGTGAAGCTTTTCCATAAGCGAACGAGGTTTTCTCGAATAGAATGTCGAGCCGCTCCTGAACAACTTCGTTCATTAGTAGCCCCACTAACATCCAATTTGTGCTGACTCTAACTCCAGCCAATAGAAACATTTCATTTTGATTGATTTTTCATATTCCTAAGGGGTTGATCACAATTAAAGCGGATTATTAAAGGAAGGGGCACGCTTGTCAATATTAAAAATTGGGAAGGGGAACAAACGCGTGCGTTGTGCATTTTAATTGGGAGACAACAAAACACAAACAAAAAACACAACAAATTAAATAACACCACAAGTATCTTATAGCATACCAGAAAGTTTATAAAACGTGTCCTGTACGTTAAATTTACTTGATTATGTCTGTCCTTATTACCCCTATTCCATCCTAATTCTACACCATCTTAATTAGAGCCAATGTTTGGCCACTCCTTTACCAATCATCTCTATCGAACATGCATCAAACTAGTCGAATTAAATAGGAAGGGCATCTAAGAACTTGCAATAACAATCGGACAAGACATAGCAAATGAGATTGAATATCGTACCTGGTGGCCTCCTTACACAAGACTTGATACTAGCAAAAAAATTTGCAATTAGTCATAGGGTGTCTGGGGTTAGTGTTCAATCTTAAGTTTTTCTTGTGCCTGTAACTACCACAAACTTAGATAATCCACATCAATGACATTTTCTCAATTAAAAATCATATATGGTACTCAATATGTAAATAAATAAATAAAATAATTTTTTTCTCCCTTAGTTTATTTGTATTTATATATTATAAAGTCACATAAACTTATATGAAATTTGCAAATGAATTGCATTAATGTAAATGCAACTAAATAAAATTGAGTTAGATTGTACAAAAAAATATGGTCGATTTTCAATTGCTGGATGCGGTTAGACATAAGCCATATCTCAACCTCTTATTTACACACATCAAAGAAAATTAGAGGTCGATCTCTCATTGGTTTCTAATGAACCATGCATCAACCAACGACGTTTAACACCATACTTAAGGGCCTGTTTATTTTCATTTTTGTTTTCTGTTTTTGAGAAAACAGATGTTGAAAACAACATTTTGTCGTTTCGAAAAACAACAGGAAGCTGCCACTTTTTGTTTTCATAGTTGGAAACGAATAGAAAACGGAATGAAAAGTAAACAAGTTTTCTTGTTTCGGTTGCCAAATTTATGACATGAAAACAGGAAACAGGAAACGAAAATAGAAGTGAACAGGTAAGGGTTTTTTTTAACACATGCAACCGTTCTAGTACAGCAACCGTGGTACGTACTTCAAGCACAATGGATCACATGCAATTAATTGATTCCATGGAAGGGATTATTGTACATCAACTATGAACTCAAGTAACCAAAAACCTTCACACGAGCCCTGGACTACTACATGTTGAAATAAAATAAAGTTTAATTAATTAAATAAATTTAAAAAAAATCAGAACTAGCTAGAAGACATGAGCAGCTAGTATGGATTTGTGTAGAACATATTTAAAATAGTTGGTTGGTAGTTGTGGCATAAAGAATTGAAAAAAATCAAGAACCACATAGTTAAGTCGGTTGGGCTGATATTTGTAGAGATTGAGGCCTATAAAAGGCTGTCTTTGTGCGTGGGTTGGATGTGCAGCAGAGCAAGAGCAAAATAAGAAAGAATACAAAGCAATAAAAGAAGCTCCAATCTCCTTGCATTTAAAAAGCCTACTGCCGTTTCTCTCTTCCCAAAATTGCCTCCCACCATTGCAAATAAATACAAAAAGATTCTCCTCTTATTTACGAAATTGTCATCCAATCACCATTCCCATCCCAAACAAACGTGCCCACCAAATTATAGTAAAGGAAATAAATCATTTTATTTCCAACAAAGTGGTATCAGAGCCCGAGTTATTCTTAAGTATGCTCTGTGGTTGCAGCGTAGTCTGAACTTCCACATCAGAAAAGAATTTCTCGTGTTGTGGTTATCACGATTGTCCCATGGCCGAAAAATCCACTTTCCCCATTCAATTCCCCCACCTTACCAAAACCAATTATAAAAATTGGTGCATTCGTATGAAAGCCTTGCTGGGATCCCAAGATGCTTGGGATATTGTTGAGAAAGATTACGAGATTCCCGTGGAGGATTCTCGTTTATCTCCTGCTGAAAAGGAGGTATTAAGAAAAAATAGAAAGAGTGATAAAAAAGCACTCACTCTAATTCATCAATGTCTTGATGAATCCATGTTCGATCAAATAGCAGATGCTACCACAGCGAAAGAAGCATGGGAAATTTTGCAAAAGGACATGCAAGGCGTGGAACCAGTGAAGAAGGTTCGACTACAGACACTCAGGGGAGATTTTGAAGCAATAAAAATGAAGGAAGGTGAATCTGTTTCAGATTACACCGCCCGTGTGAAGTCTATCGCCAGCAAACTGAAGCAGTATGGGGAGAAAATTGAAGAGACCAAAGTGGTGGAGAAAATTCTACGATCACTACTACCAAAATTTGACTACGTGGTGGTGGCCATGGAGGAAGCTAAGGACGTGTCAAAAATGACGGTTGATGAAGTCATCGGTTCTTTACAAGCCAGAGAAGAAAGACTAAATAAAAGAAACGAAGAATCGTCAGAACAAGTGTTAGCCACAAAAGCTACCACTGAGGAGAAAGAAGGTGCCCGAGGAGGAGGTCAGTACAGAGGTCGAGGCAGAGGCAACTACAGAGGCAGAGGAAGAGGCAGAGCCCGAGGAGCATATCAAAGTAGGGATGGAGGAAATTTCACCACGAACAATTATGAAACGTCCACCAGAGGCAGAGGTCGTGGTCGTGGACGTGGAAGAGGAAGTTGGAGATCAAATGAAGGTCGTGATAAATCCAACGTCCAATGCTATAATTGCTCGAAGTACGGGCATTATGCATCGGAATGTTGGAGTCCGCCTAAAGAAGTGGAGGAGACAGCAAACAACGTGCAAGAAGAAGAAGTCAAAGGCACATTGATGCTGTCACATCAAGGAATTGAGAAACCGAAAGACAACATGTGGTATCTGGATAATGCAGCAAGCAACCACATGTGCGGTAAAAGAAACATGTTCGTGGATATGGATGAGTCAGTGAAAGGAAATATTGTATTTGGAGATTCCTCGAAGGTTCCTATCAAAGGCAGAGGAACTATACTCATCCGGCTGAAGAATGGCTCGCAACAATTTATCAGTGATGTGTACTATGTCCCAGACATGACTAGTAACATCCTGAGTTTGGGTCAATTTGATGGAGAAGAATTATGAAGTTCACATGGTGAATCATCAATTGGAGCTGCTAAATGAGAAGAGGCAGTTGTTGGCCAGAGTCCCAATGTCGAGAAATAGAATGTTCACCCTGAACATTCAAACCGAAATGGCGAAGTGTTTGAAAGCCTGTGTGAAGGACAATACATGGCTATGGCATCTGAGGTATGGCCATCTAAATTTTGGAGGCCTGAAGTTACTCGGTCAGAAGAAGATGGTTCATGGTCTGCCAGTGATCAATCATCCAGACCAGTTGTGTGAAGGATGCTTGGTTGGAAAGCAATTCAGGGCAAGTTTCCCGAAGGAGTCCCTGTCACGAGCAAAAGCACCACTTGAGCTCGTCCATGCAGATTTATGTGGTCCGATCACTCCAACATCATTTGGCAAGAACAAATACTTTCTATTGTTCATTGACGACTACAGTAGAAAGACGTGGGTTTACTTCTTGAAGCAGAAGTCAGATACATTTGAAGCTTTCAAGAAGTTCAAGATGATGGTGGAGAATGAAAGTGGCCGCTACATCAAAGCAATGAGATCAGATAGAGGGGGAGAATTTATGCTCAAGAAATTCAGAAGGTTCTGTGAATATCAAGGAATTCGTAGGTTTCTCACAGTCCCAAGATCCCCACAGCAAAATGGAGTCGTTGAGAGGAAGAACAGAACCGTCCTCAACATGGCGAGAAGCATGATGAAGAGCAAGAACCTACCAAAGGAGCTATGGGCTGAAGCTGTTGATTGTGCAGTCTACCTGCTGAACAGGTCACCAACAAAGAGTGTTTGGAATCAAACACCCCAAGAAGCATGGAGCGGAAGGAAACCCACAATCTCTCACCTCCGAGTCTTCGGAAGTGTCGGATATGTGCACGTACCGGATCAAGAAAGGAAGAAGTTGGATGACAAAAGCAAGAAATACATATTCCTGGGATACTCAGAACACTCAAAAGGTTACAAGATGTTTGATCCCGTGGAAGAGACGCTGATCATCAGTAGAGACGTGGTGGTTGATGAAAAATCAACATGGGACTGGACTGTTGAAGCAAGGAAAAATTACACTTTTTATCCATTCACTATGGATGAAAGTGATGATGAACCAGATACAGCTACACCTATGACAAGTCCACCCAGTCACAGAGAGCCTGCTAGCCCAGAAGGAGAATCAAGTGAAAGTCCGAAAGAAAGGCCACAGAAGTATAGAAGACTTGAAGAAATTTATAAGGAAACGACAACCATTGAAGGTGATGAATTGACACTGTACTGTCATTTCATTGATGATGAACCAGTGGATGCTGAAGAAGCCATGAAGGATGAAAAATGGAAGAAAGCTATGGATGAAGAAATTGGAGCAATTGTGAAGAACAAGACTTGGGAGCTTGTGTCGCTACCTGAGAACCAGAAGCCCATCGGTGTGAAGTGGGTATTCAAGGCCAAGAAAAATGCTAAAGGAGAAGTTGTCAGGCACAAGGCAAGATTAGTGGCGAAAGGGTATAGTCAGAGACCAGGCATTGACTATAATGAAGTATTTGCTCCTGTAGCGAGAATGGAGAGTATTAGGATGGTGATATCTCTCGCTGCTCAAAATGGATGGAAGATACATCAGATGGATGTAAAGTCAGCTTTTATGAATGGATATCTCGAGGAAGATATCTATATTGAGCAACCCCCTGGATATATCGTCGAAGGCCAAGAAGATAAGGTGTTGAAACTGAAAAAGGCAGTGTATGGTCTGAAACAAGCACCGAGAGCGTGGAATAGCAGAATTGACAAGTATTTTCAGGAAAATGGGTTCAGCAAATGCCCACATGAGCATGCACTATACTGCAAGGTGCAAGGGGGAGCAATATTGATGGTTTGCCTATATGTAGATGATCTCATCTTCACAGGCAATGATCCTCAAATGTTTGAAGAGTTCAAGAAGACAATGGTTCGTGAGTTCGAGATGACAGACATCGGACTAATGTCATACTATCTCGGAATTGAAGTAAGTCAAAAGGAGGAAGGAATTTTCATCTCACAGAGTGGCTTTGCAAAGGAGGTCCTGAAGAAGTTTAAGATGGAGAGCTGTAATCCTGTGAGCACACCAGCAGAGTGCGGATTAAAGTTATCCAAGGATGATAAAGGAGAGAAGGTCAACTCAACGGAGTTTAGAAGTCTCGTGGGAAGTCTGAGATATCTGACTTGTACCAGACCAGATATTCTCTATGCAGTTGGATTAGTCAGCAGATACATGGAGGCACCAACTATGTCACACTGGAATGCTGCCAAGAGGATATTACGCTACATTGAAGGTACAATTGATCATGGTCTACTTTATACTAAGTCAGAAAATTTCAAATTGGTTGGATACTGCGATAGTGATTGGGGAGGAGACGTGGATGATCGCAAGAGCACTACAGGATTTGTGTTTTTTCTTGGAGATACAGCTTTCACATGGAGTTCAAAGAAGCAAGCTATTGTGACACTGTCAACTTGTGAAGCTGAGTATGTTGCTGCGACATCGTGTGCGTGTCATGCGATATGGCTGAGAAAGTTGCTGAAGGAGTTGAACATGACACAAGAAGAGTCCACTGAGATTTATGTTGATAACAAGTCTGCCCTAGCGTTAGCAAAGAATCCGGTGTTTCATGATCGCAGTAAGCACATTGATACGAGGTATCATTTCTTAAGAGAATGTGTGGAACAAAAAGAAGTAATGTTGAAGTATGTGAAGACTGAAGACCAGATTGCAGACATTTTCACAAAGCCACTGAAGCAAGATGTGTTCGTCAAGATGAGGACGCTACTCGGAGTTACGAAGAATTAAACTTTAAGGGGGAGTGTTGAAATAAAATAAAGTTTAATTAATTAAATAAATTAAAAAAAAATCAGAACTAGCTAGAAGACATGAGCAGCTAGTATGGATTTGTGTAGAACATATTTAAAATAGTTGGTTGGTAGTTGTGGTATAAAGAATTGAAAAAAATCAAGAACCACATAGTTAAGTCGGTTGGGCTGATATTTGTAGAGATTGAGGCCTATAAAAGGCTGTCTTTGTGCGTGGGTTGGATGTGCAGCAGAGCAAGAGCAAAATAAGAAAGAATACAAAGCAATAAAAGAAGCTGCATTTAAAAAGCCTACTGCCGTTTCTCTCTTCCCAAAATTGCCTCCCACCATTGCAAATAAATACAAAAAGATTCTCGGGATCAG